CAGGGGAAGGCCTTTAACACCCGCTGATTCTTTAAAGTGCTCTACAGTTATTACAGGACAGGGATTGGGCTCTCTCTGGAGACCTAGAAAAGCACAAAATGCAGAATTAATGCATAGGTCAGTTCAACTCTCCGTGGAACATTTAATGGTCAACCCGCAGCGAAAACATTGTGGGACCAAATAATAGATGTTGAAATGGAAAACGTAAAACAGAAAAATAAAAGTCAGGCAAGGAAACTGCACACAAACTGGAACACAACCAATCACTGTCTCACATTCTGGAGCATTATAAGCACAATGTGCAGGAAAGGAGATGAAGATGTTAGGCACACAGACATTCAGCGTAACTACACAATGCTCCTACGCGGGGCTAGGCACTGACACCTGCTCTACCCGACACTGGGTCATGATGGAATGAAAGCAAACCCGGTCACTCATCTCCAAATACACCATGATGGTTCTGGATTATGTAGAACTACCGTCTGGGGACAAATCCAATTCAGTATCTGACATGTAGTCATCTGCTCCACACTGCTGATATCTGAGGACACACCCCACTCCCTGCCCCTGCAATGTATCAGGACATGCCTGTTTAATAAATGCAAGTTTACTGATGATTTACATCATAAGCACTACTCAAAGAGCAAAAGAGTACTCCAAATATGAATACTGAAGGTACTTTCTCAGGGGAGAAATCATATTAAATAAATCACCTTCAGCTGGAGTCGCCCTGGAGTTTTGTTTTGTCTTCTAAGTTAGCAAATATCTCCTCTGTTTAAATGAATCTATCATAAAGTTCTTTACGGAGAAGGAGTAAAATACATGGGAAATTACAGAGTTATTTGAAAACTCTAATATACTAGTCTATTTCTATCTAGGTAGAGATGCCTCAGGGTGCTCTGGCTTTTAAAATCAAATAGACAATTATCAGAATACAAGAGCGCTTACCTTCCAAGAAATATTAGCAGGTTAGAAGTATGTCATTGGGCACATGTTAGCAAGAGGGCAGGAAAAAGGCATATGTAACTAAGCAAGAAGAATCCAGAGAAAGGGTGGTTGGGGGCAAAGGTATCATTTCAATCATCTGTTTCCCAACCCACCAGGATAAGGACATTTGGTTCAATGATTTGGATTCTACGGATGACTCAGAACCTTTATACAGAAGTAATCCAATCATCCTCTCCCCACATTACCCTCCCCCTTCTATGCAAACCGTTAGATCCTAGAAACTGTTGGTAACAATTAACCCCCAATAAAGTTTCTGCTTGAATTAAGCACACAGCACACAGCAGAAGCAGCATCAAAATCAGTTTATTGGGAAACCAGTCTCTTAAAGACATTACATTATAAAGAGATGTAGAGAGTTGAGTTGAACATTTTAGAAGATGCTGTACAAAAATACTATGCTTTTCTGAAGCCTATAACTTTTTAGCAGTGCTTCTTTTTAAACTTCTGACCTTAAATATTGTTTCCAGAAACAAAAAAGGTGCCTCTCTCCATGTTTATTTCTCTTTCTAGTAGTTTGAATGCATTAGGTGAATTTAAAATTAGAGTCTTTAAGTTAAATTCTGTACTGGTGCCAAATGACTTTCTGACTTGTATCTGAAGAATATGATTCTGAAGAGGATAATTTTTTCTCGTAACACAACTTTAATATGTGTACCTGCATGATGACAGGAAAGCATAAGCTAAAACACTTCCTTTGCAATATATATAGAAAGATATATCCTAACCTCTCAGGAAAGTATATTGATATTAGATGTCACAGAGATTTCCACATGGTGAATTCTGGGAGAAAATTCAAATGAAAGAGGGAAAAGGAGTTTTCCAAAATAAGGTTTGCCAAGCAAGGTGGTATGAAAGGCTCCCAAAACTCCTTGAGCCACTTTCTAACATAGCATCAGTTGGACAAAGTTTTCAGTTGCCAAAACCAAGGCACAATTTCTCATTTTCCAAAACTACTCTGAAAGTTGTTGTTATTAAGCTGGTTCTGCAGTACAGCAAAATATCTCTTTAGGAAAAATAAATAAATAAATTTCGTCACGCCAATGACCAACTCCGGCATGATACAAGTCAATAATGGAAAGGAACACTAGTTTGACTGGAGTTAGTGTTATGGGAAATTTAAATTGATTTCACTGAAAACAAGTTGTGTGGAGATTGCCCAAAAGCAGCTACCTACAGAACTTGGGACACTTTGGATGAGTGTTAGATTCCATTGTAAGAACCGTAAAGTACCAAGCAGGGGTGCCCATGTCTAGAGTTGGACAGGATGGAAGAACATACCTAACTTATCAAAATTACTTCTGTTAAAAAGTGGGTTCTTGGACAGTCAACTGTAAGCCTACTAAGTCAGAGCATATTCTATGACCTTCATGGTAAGTAATGGGAAAATCATACTTAAAGTCTCAGCAACTTTTAAAATTCACAAACCCAGTCACAAAAATACTATAACATTGAGTTTGAAGGGAAAACTAGTCTCCAGTCCTTCAAAACAAGGTCAGACCTGTTTCATATCTTTCTTCCAGCATGAATCTGCTTATGGGATTGAAAAAATACGTTTAAAAAATTCTCCTGAGAAGGCCAAGTCTCTCAAACTGTCCACTCTTTTTAGAAAAGGCGCAGTGCGACCGAGACAGAGCAATCGACAAGATCAGACACCTAAGGCTGGCAGTCTAGTCTCTAAGGCTGGCAGTCTAGAGACCAAAGCAATGCTGGTAGATATGGAAAAGCACAGACATGCACATCCCCTCGGGAATTTTGGTGGTGGTAGCGCAAGAAACAAAGGAGTCAAGAGAAAGGGAGATTCTAAGTAACTGTAAACGGAAGATATTAAATCTTGTTGGGAGTTAGAGGTCTTTTTTGGAACATTAGTGGGTTCTTGGAGGGAAAGCCCATGTTTTCAGGGTGAATGGTCCTTGTATATGAAGATAGCTCTGTACCATAAGGAAAACGTGTTTGAAGTAGTCTGCCTAGTAGTAATAAAGGATTTACACTAATTTAACCTCATGCTTTGGCCCAGTTCCTTTGGTAACTGATGCTGACCACAGAGCTCACTGAAGCCTAACCAGCTGTTCCTGCAGAAGGAGGAAGGGGCTTAAGTCTAGGACCTGGCCTCATGGTCTGCTAAAGGGTCTTCCTTATCAAGCCTAAGGTAGGGCATTTTTCTAATTCCTCCAAACTGGGTCTGTCTCTTTTTATTTTGGTTTAGCCCATTAAATTAAGCAAGAGGTCAAAACATACTTCTTTTACTTGCTCTGATGTAGGCCTGTGTGCCAGGTTAAGGTTAAGCAAATTTTTCGACACTTCCACTAGGGATAACTCCATTTTTGAGGCTCCAAATGATACAGACTTCAGTAAGAGCTCACATGCTTCAGAGAGTAGGAAAGGAGTCCCAAAAATAAATGATTTGGCAACTGTCCTCACCAACTCCCTGTTAAGTTTCAAAACAATGAAAAGTGCTGAATGATTTAGGATAGGTTTACCCTGGAAATTTTTATCTGATGAATATAATGATGGTGATCAGAGTGCCTTCTAGAAAACTGAAATCCGAAGACTTAAATTTCAGGCTAGATATTCCTTAGTGTAACACATTGTGCACAACCTGAATTTTCGCTTTCCCCTATGTTATCAATTGAAATAACAGTTACAGGGAGTCTCAAAGGCATATTTCTTGCCAAAAACTGAAAATGAAAACTTGGAGTATTGAGAAACCTTCTCATATAGTTAGCAGGTAGAAAGCAAAATATCCCTTCATAAAAACTTCAGAAATGTAGCACCAAGTGAAGTTCACACTCTTGGAGCCAAATCAGGAAATCAAGAGATATATATCAAACTAATAATTTCCATGACCTTTTGGCTTAGGTGATAAAATCAAGCATTTGGTTCTACTATATGTTACATTAAAACCCAAGACTGGGGAATGAGGGATTTGATGGGAGACGACATTGGCTAGTGATGATGTGCCTCTCAAGCCAATGGAGCAATTAAATGAGACATCTCCCTGGGCATAAAACTGCTGTTGCCAACATAAAATGTTTAATTAAATTGGCCTGGGTAAAGATTAAATGAGAGGACAGCTGCAAATCTGTGCTCCATTTTACAACCTGTGTCTGGTCATATCGAATGCAGGGTCACGCAGGTTTTATCCTCCCTGGCCGCAAGGTGAAGCTAGGGTAGCCATGACTCATTAAAATGTCCTCAGCATGTCCGCACTTCCGTTGTACACGGGTACTTACTGTCACTCAACAATGTGTTTAAATCCTTTTTGCGAAAGTGGGTTTTCAGCTCGGGAAAATAGCAGCTATTTGAAATTATTTACATCTCTGAACATCAATGCTCCTGTTTGAACAGATAAAAGTCTTTATTCCCCTGTATGTTTACATAAGAAATTTGTTTACAGACTTGTTTTTTATACAATACTTGTGTAGCAATGTTCAAATTTCACACTTTTACTGCATAAGATTGCTTCATGTACCTCTGTTTGTTTTGTCTTCTTGGGGAGGACAGGATAAAGACCTGTGGTAAATATACATCCATGTGACAAGGGGTGTGCAATAGGACAGAGCAGGATACTAGCAGGAAAAAGAGTACATTCAGGACTCTACTACATCAAGTGGAGACCAAGGAAGTGTCTTCCATTCTAGCAACTACCACCGTTTGGTAACTTTGTATTATCTGAAGGACCTTCCTCCTCTACTTCAGTGAAAGGAAACCCAGGAGAAACAAACAAAATAGTATCTTGTTACAGATTATTTGAAATGGAAGTCATCCGGAATTCATTCTGACTCAAAAAATCCAAGTGTATCCAGGAACATTACTAGCATGGAAAAGGAAAAGGCTAATTCTGTTAGTAAAAAAAAAATCACAGTCTCTAGAGAGGAATAAAAGATATAGCTTTGTAATACCTGAAGTGTTTGAGTAAAGATTCCATTTTAAATATCCATGTGATCTTTTCTCTGTTCTGCTTGGCAGCCTCTAATTTGCTTATTAATTCAGTATTTGGGGCAATCCTGTCTTTTTTTTTTTTTTTTTAATTTAAACTGAAGCAATCCTGTCATTTTTATCCTCAAATTCTAAGTTAGTGGCTATAAGATCCTGATAACCTTATAGACTGAGAAACTTAAAGTCTCCTGGAGATCATCATCATGGGAACTTTATTTTGGTCCAACCAATTTAGAGCATGCATTTGTTCGGCTGAACTCAGATCCCTCCATACCTCTGGGCTGAGGTCAGCTCCAAAGGTCCCCTGCTTCCCACAGCACTGCTGAAGGAAAACTTTCTCATCTAGGGGAAGACTGGGTTGGTTTGAATCAAAATGATCGATTGTCTGCCAGGAGAGTGGGAAAAAGTAGTATAAATAAAATTAACATTCCATCTGGAGAAACACAGGTTCTTTTTTGTGTTTGTTCCCCTATAATTATTAGCAATCCAAGTTCTATAACTCTAATTTAGGATGAGCTAAGTCCCATATCAAATGACACCGAACAAAGTGATAACCTGTTTCAGAGGTATTTTAAAACACCTATCTTTCAACTTTCTAAACCATATTAAAGGGCAAAATTGCAGACATTCCCTTATTCAGAATATTAAAGAAATTAAGAATGATCATGTCACTTTATAAGGTACGTTCTGTGAATTTTTTTTTACTACCTTCAGTAGTAACCACTTTTCATCTTAGGGTGGTGATTTTGCTTTTAAAAATAGCTAAATGTTACACAGAACCAAGAGTGGTAGAAAAAGTAGATCAAGAAAGGGAACATACTTTCAGATGCTAAAAGCAATACTAATTAGATAACAGTACAATGGATTTCTTAATACCTTATTACCTTCCTTGATGTTATTTCTAAGAACAGGAGTTTCAAAGTAACTTAAATGATGGCAGCATCATTAGAATAAGTATTAGCTTCTCAAGTAAAACTAGATGCCTTTGAAGGGAACATCAATTAGATGTCAAAATTCTGACATGCCTGCTAAAGTAAGTAATCATTAATTATAACCATATTTATAAGTGCCCATTTAAACCTTATCTCCTCTGAGGCCTGTGTCTTTTAAAACGTTAGGACTTGAATTTAGCAATCTAGTTATTTGAATGCTCTAAAGGGTAAAAAAAAAATCATGTTTTTTTGGTATAGCTACAATCTTGTACAGTTGAAATAAAAGCAAATCAGAAACATGCTCTTAGTATTTGTCCATTTTTAAATAGCAGATCATTGATTAAACATTTTTAAAAGAATTGAAATCCGATACTGTTTTGTTGTACTGTATGTTTGTGTGTGTGTATGAGAGAAACACACGGGGAGTGGGGGGACTAAAAAAAGGAACATCTATGTCCAAAACTCTGTGACCATTTAGGCTTCTATTCAGATAACCAAGAAAGAGCAACCTAGGTTAGTAAAAGTCCATTATAATTCTCTAAAATGTCGATACTGCTATATAATAGTAAGAATTACATTAGATAACTGAAGAACATCAGGATATATAAATCCTTCACAGTCCTCCCAAAGCATAATAATATATACTTAGAACCCTAGAATTCTATAATCTTAAAGACCACCTAGTCCAAACTCATCATTGTACAAACAAGAGCAGCAGCTCTGAGAAGTGATGCACCTGCTGAATGTCATTCAGACAGTTACTGGCAGAGGTCTGGATGAAATCCCAGGTGGCCTACCTTGCCTGGGCCTCTTCTTCTGCTACCCTGCCTCAGGTCCTACACCTGTAAAATGAAGTGGATGGACCAGAAGATGGTCTCTAGGTCCCTCTTATAGCTCAGTCTATAGTTTCATAGGTCTATCAATTATCAGCACACTACACTCATCTCAAATAAACTCTCTTAGCTCAGGGATGATGCTATACACCAAAAGGCCTCATTCACTGAGTCACTCATTTGTATGCTTTAACACAAAAATAGTTTTCCCTTTTGAGGCCCTACTCCTAAAGAATTTCATGCTATTATTTCCCTCAGGCCTCCTCCACCCAATCTCTGGCTTCTAGTCTGTTCTTTTCATTAACAGTCTCCATTAAGCTTTATTGAGCCAGATGACTAGATAATATATATCAATGTAATTACGGATAATGCACCAAAGGAACAATTTAGAGACACCTAATTTCTAGACTGTATACTTCATGGTTTCGAGAAACTACATATTTCATTATATTTCTAAGATGTATGCATGAAAAAAATCAAATTGGAAAACATAGGCATACAATTATTCTTATTTAAAAATAAACATTTCCTTCATTAGCTTATACATTCTTTCTATGTCCAGGAAAAAGAATACAATTTTGACCTTCAATAATATTCCTGTCCATAAGGGGGGAAACCAAGTCCCATTTTCACTGCTATCCAATCACGGAGAGCTCTTCAAGGGTGCCTTTTTTAATCCTCAGCGGGAAGGTTGTGCCTCCCTCAATTTGGAAATGATCCATATCCTCACAGAGGCCTTTACTTAGCTCATCTAGTTTCGGCTGGCACGGGAAGTATTTAAAGTCAGAAGGAAGACTGAAAGATTCAGACTTTTCCTCTGATGCCTTTCAAAGGCTGCTCGCACGTTGCTGGGGTCAAAGCTTGACCTCCGAGGTGCAGTGTTTTGCAGACTGTCGTTGCTGTTCAGCTTTTCCTTTCCCCTTAAAGTGCAAACGTGAGGAAGAAGAAACAAATGTACTAGATAGAGAAACAAGCAAGTGGACTTGGAATTTTATTTGTACAAATCTTATAATTAAGAGTTTCCCTTCTGATGGCGGAAGACGGCACTCAAGGAAGGGGCCACGGTGGGGCTTTCTGTGCCTGCCTCTTTTCACAGGGGTAACTTTAAAAAATTGCTTTCCAAGTAAGGAAAAAAATACACTTCAGTGCATAAGGACATATACAGAAGGTGACCATGAGGCATGTTGTCATGTCAGCGCAGGGCCCTTTATTTATTTTATGAACAATATTCTAAGGTTAGTGAGGAGCTAGGCTTCGTTGTTTTTTTTGTTGTTTTTTTTTAATCTAGGAAGCCAAAGAAAACCAACTAACATATTTCACTGGCTGTATCTTCCAATTTAAACATCAGAGAGGAAGAAAGGTAAGTAGCCAGTCTCATTGTGCCTAGCTCGTCAGCATACTTATTGATTATCTGAAAATAAACAACATGCTTAATCTACAAAGACAGAGGACCTGTTTGAAAGCTTATAGCAACACACAAGTCTACTCAAAATGATTCCATATGTTACACTGTACGATTGCTGTGTAGTTAGACAAGGAAAAGAGATCAAAACCCTGTACAGACACCTGATATCGAACTTGAAACGCCAAGTGGAAACAACTATTCAGCGTCTTCATTTATACACAATTTACAATATTTGATTCAAAATAAAAATCACAAGAAAAATACATCTGTTTCTGCTACAATTCCTTCCCCTCCCCCATCCACCCCCCAGTGAAAAGTCTTCTAATAAAAGGTATCATATTACCACCATTGTCTTGTTTTGGTCTGATTCTGAGATCCTGGCTTGGGACAGTTAACATGAAAAGGCATGGCAATACTTGGGATTTATATAATGTACACATTTTATCCAAGGATCTCAAGTACTTGCAGTCACGTCTCCAGATCTGAGATCACACTTCAATGGAAGCCAGATTGCTGGACGAATGCTGGGCAGGTTGCATGGGGTGGAAAATCCCTTGGCTAAGTCAAGGTCAGAGTTGGTTGGCTAGAGCTGGGCTCACTTTCTCTTTTCAAACATGTACCATCAGTCAGTCAGTTTTACCCTCTCTTAAACCACACACCCATCTCCGGGCTACTGCCTAGAGTTAAGACCAACTGAAGAAGCCATGTCTTCATAATGATGCAGCAGGATAAAAACAAAAACAGAGAAACACACTCATCAGCATCTGGCCAAAGGAGACGGGTTGGGAGGATTGATTTAGGAGGCCATTCCTAGCAAGAATGAGGCAAAGATGTCAATTCACTAGTTTCAGTTACAGTTAAGCTTTTGGTGGAGTTGATTCCAGCAGAGGTGAAGCTCATGGCATCTAGCGCTTGATTTAAGATAATGCTATTGAAGAAGGGTAATGAGAAAACACAGCAAACTGACAGGGAGGAACTGGCCAAGGACTACCTGGAGGGCCAAAGTGATTTTCTTTCCTTATCGTTTCTACAGGAGAAGGCAAGGGGTAGGAGATAAGGGCTAGAGGGCCCCTTATTTTCAGATTTTTAAAAAATCATTTTTCTCATAATTCCGTAACGAAAATGTATATTACGGTATGAAGGTTACAGAACTGCATCTGCTACTGGGTCTCGGCTACAGGTCTATGAGCTGATCCACCAGCAGTAAAGACCTGGCTAGGTTGGGAAGACTGGACTCAGAGCTCCCACTGCTGTTTCTAGAGTGCCCACCTGGAAGTGGAGAGATAGGAATTCAGTACAAAACACAGAGGGTTAAGGTTTAGATGTGCAGAGCAAGCAAAGGAGAAAAAACCAAACCAAAACAAAACCCTAGAGAAGCAACAATTTACATTTGCAAACTCTTACATGTTGATTTTTAAACATATAAATTAGGTGTCCACCACCTCCCACCAAATGTTCAGGCACTGTGTGCACACCATACTATATCCAGGACATCTTGCAAAGAGGATGCTATTTTTAAAAGAATATATATTTTGCCTGAGAACTGCTGGCTGTACGCTAACTTCCTGATAACACTGAGTCATCTGCCCAATAAAGTAAAAATCAATAATTTTTGCTTTGGGGAGAAAATAGTTAAGACCACTGCAATAAAAACATGCTTTAAAAAATATATAGATGGTCCTATGCAATTCAGTGTTTTGTGGCATGTTCGAATGATTTTAATCCATCAAAGAGGAAAAAGTATGCTCCACAAATGTCTAAAAGATGCAAACAATACCAAAGCACCATGGTTAATGTCTTTGGGAAGAATATTTATTTCAGATTGTTCTAATCAAGGTAAACAATGTTCAGTGCTTTTTTTTTTTTGATATATGCCTTCAGGTTTCCACCGACTGAAGATCACTTTATTTTTAGCTTGATACTTTGTAAAAACCAGCTTTTGGTCAAACCATTATATACTTTTCCTCTCTCTAAAGAAAACACCATGGTCAGGGTTTAAGATACCTCTAGTGGTATCTCTGTATCTGTTATCGCTACCTACCTATATTGGTCCAGCTGACAATGATTGTCATTACTCTCAATTTCCTTCATTAAATGTTGCTTTCCCACCCCCCTGTACATTAGGCACACTACTATTCTGTAGAGAGCTGATGTCAAGCTCTTCTCTTTTCCCCATCCTCTCTTTCTTACCTTGTGGGTTTTTGGTTATCAATACAGGAATAGGGTCAAACTCATCTTCTGCCACTTTGTCCGAGCCCTCAGGGACATCAAAACCTGAGATGAGATTACTATCTTCTGCAGCTTAATACAGAATGCAAGTACACAAGCAGAAACAGGGGCAGAGATTAGCAAATTAGAGAACACGTAAGAGGCACAAAGTTCCCAACTGTACAATCACTGCAGTTTTTAAAGATGAAAATGCTTAGTTGAAATAAAAGTAGCAAAACTGGAAAACTCAGGGAAAGGGAAAAAAATGCTTTAAAGCTGGCCATGTTAAGACTTTCATAAATGATTACGGAAAAGGGTTATAGGAGGAATTCTCTCTACCATTATAAGACTATTAATTGTAGTTATTGTGAGGTAGGTATTTCTTCAACATCAGTAATTCGCAAAGGCACAGGAATTAGTCATTTATCTAGCAAACAAAGAGGCCTGACTAACAATATTTGAAAACGTCAAAACCAGGGGCAGGAATAGGTTATCAGTCACTCTTTAACTGCTATATATATACAAGGCAAACAAAATGCTTCTGAAAGGACTCACTGCCTTGTGAATGGGATATTTAAAATAACTCTGATACCTCAGGTAATACTGGGGCACAAGATCACATGCACTGAGATTTCGAGCAGAAGTTTGCTACAATATTCTAATCCCTTCTAATTAAGGCTATTCTACCAGCAAGTGCTAGCTGAGCACCTATTCTGCAAGTACTGCTCCTCTGTAATTATATATTGCTGCTGACACACTCCCGCCAGATGTACTTGGTTAAAAGGTAACTTCTTTCTAAATGCTCTACAAAAACATAATTTTAATGCTATAAAGGGGAAAAAAACCAAAGCTCAGCTATTACCCCTGCAAACCACAGGCTAATTACTTTTTAGTCATCTTGGGGAGACTTCCTTCTTGAACTTCCTTCAGAAAGTACTTATGCTATTTCTTTTCTATGAATTTGCTTCTGCCAGAAAACCACTTTCACTACCCAAACACAGAAAGTTTAATGAATGCCTGCATACAGTAAGCCAGGCATTGTGCCTATCACAAACTGCTCACTGAACAGAATTCAATTCAAGCTACCTCTGTCCAACAGAATTTCAAACCAGTATTAAACAAAGAGTAAGAAGTGAAAATGGCAGATTAGAAAGAGAAATCCAGTAATCAATCATGACTCAAAGGTTAACTAAAATTAAAAACTTTTACAAATTCAATCTTTGAAGACCAACTTTTGAGGAATGATGTCTTGATTATCACTACCCAAAAACTTTACATCAGATTTGATGAAACAATTTTAAGTTCTAAGGCCAACAAGTATCTTATTAATAATTATAGTCAGTCAGTGGCTAGTCAACTCAACCATCTACTTGAACTGACTGCATGGATTATCTGTATTCCAGGTGACTGCCAGCAAGCAATACTTCCACCAATCCGTTTTGTAAGCCTTACTAAATATTCTTACTGAGAGGGACTATAATACTGTGGTTGAAAATACAAACTCAAGTTTTCCTCGTAAGGAGGTGGTTAAAACACTTCACAGCAAAGGCTTCTGGTAAGGAAAAATTTCAGGAGTTGTTCAGTTCTCCTCTTCCAAGGATATATGTGGGCCCAAGAAGAAGAAAGTATTTACCTTTATGGGCTGCAGCAGAGACTGCTATGGGGGCAAACTCTTCCAGAAGGTCAGTAGTAGGGTTAGAGAGCAGAGAGCAATCGATGAGGGAATCTTCCCCAGTGAGAGAGTCTGAGTCCAGATTAACAGCATCCCAGGTCAGTGATGGCATTAAATGGTACACACAACAATACACGAGATTAGACCGTAGCCTTTAAGTTATGGCATTTACATGTTATACATACAAGCCAAGGCAAGGGAAAGAAAACCAAAAGAAACATGTTAAGCACTCCAGATTTCACCTATACAAACTTGTATTTCTGGATGCCTCTTAACATTAATACATAAATGTGGAAAAGTTTTTTCACTCAGAGGTTACTGGTTAGACACGTATGTGATTTGGATGCCAAGAAAACTTTAACAACTCAGTTCTCAGCAAATGCCATTTTGCAACTAGGAGTTTCACATAAGCTTTCCCTAAACATTCATGGGAAAAAGTTATGATAGGATGAAGTATCCAAGCTGACCAGAAAGGGGTTGTCCCTGGCTGATTAGTAGCAGAATATGACACGATTAAACAGTACTTTCTAGAACTCGACCAGATTCCTCTTCAAAACAGAATGATCTTGCCTCTCAGTAGTTGTTTACATTTGAATTGCTCCTTTGAACATGTAATTTTGCTTTTAGTGAAAGAACAGAAAGAAGACAAAATTCAGAGTTCAAGTATTTTAACACATGAATTATTTTCTGGGAAAGTTTTCTAGGAGAAAATGACCAAATAAGTACAAGGAAAAGAAACCATATCGTCTTTTGCATTAATTTTTTTTTTTACCTGGATGAGTTAATTTTTATACTTCCTAGACTCTTAATTGTTTCTGTCCCAAGTTAGGAAATTCGGGTAAAAACAATGCTGGAACAAGGGGAGATTTCAACTGTGCCCACAATTTAACTGCAAATCACCTACCTATATATGATTAAAGGACTGTGCTGGGAATAGAATGTCCACATCTGAACGCGGGCTCCATGGATATCACTGACATTGTTAGGTAGGAAAGACTGCTCAGTAACCTGGAGGAGTTAAGGGTGTCCTTATAACTTAGCAAAGTTCTTTAACTTTGGAGGTGGAGGGAACCTGCCACCAGTGAAAAAAAATCTTGAATAAAGAAGGACTGTAACCAGGGAAAGCCCTGGGATCACTCCACAAAGAACATGGCTCCAAAAAGTACTCTTGTTTTTCAGTGAGGAAACATATCACTCAACATCTAGAAGCTGGGGCTGTAACAATACAGAACATCCCTTCTAAGAGGAATTAACTGGGCTGCAAAATAAGCCCAGGACCATCTGCCGTGGGTGGAAGACTGCCTCTGGGGGCCCCCCACATTGACAGGTCCCCGCAGCAGTAGAGACTCCTGACTGACCTGTGCGGTTCGAGGTCACAGATTCCGTCTGAGATGGGAGGCGCTGGGGCACCGGGGGCTCCAGTCCTGGTATGAGACTCTCAACGGCAACATCAGCCTTTTCTTTGGTAACAGCATTAAGAAAGGAGAATAAAGGATAAGGAAAGGCAGTCAGAGGTCCTTTGGACTATTCTGTGAAGGCTTTCTTCTATAGGTCTCTAAAATGCCAGTGTCAGGTGAAATGGAAAGCACAGTAAGTTACTTCATTTCTGCGGCTTTGAGTGTCTGGGCTTCACGGATAGAGCATGGCTGTGCAAGGTTAACCACTGTGGCTAGTCTTGGTGATTCTCAGTTTTTATAGATAAACGCAGAATGAGAGCCACCCAGGAGATCTTGTCCATGTCAGAAGACACTGACTGAAAAGCACCTTGATATCTTCTAATAATTTTGCTTTTCTTAAGAAATAAACTTAGGGGCCTTTCGCATCCTCTGTGCCTTGTAAAGGACACTAGTCCTTCTCAAATCCCTTCCCATGATATACCTGGGAGGTATTTCTGCACTGTGTGACATCCTCCAGCTAGAGGCCCATCTCTCCATAAGGTCATGGCCTTTCTGAGTTCTAGGACTTTGTGTCCCTGGAGTACAGGGTCCCTGGGCATTTTGTAAGTCTTGCCTGCCTTGTGGTTAGGACACAGGGAAATTCAAGGGCAAGCAGACCAAGCCTTTGCCCTGGATTCTACACCTGGTGCTTCATCACTAGGCATGTGTTTTCCCAGAAGAAGAATCTGCTAAAGGTGAGGTCCAAATTGAAACCAACTTTTTCCATGAAGCTTTTGTAACTAAATATGAATTTTACCACAATTCTCCTCATTCATAAGAAATTACTCTAGAAATCTCAGGATATCAACAAAGGAAAAATAATAGTGTTGTGCTGCCGGAAGACAGAGAAAACACTTGAACTGGGGTGACAACGGGGAGGTTAAATAGCCTTGGCTTCTCGGTTAGCACAAGGCATCGCTCCAAACCAGGGGGCCTGGTGGCATTTTCACTCCTCATCAGGGCTATTCACTGGGGATCTGTTAACAGTTATCATTCTTGAAATAGACACACACGTCATGCATGACTAAAGAAAGAGAGATGATGACTTTACCAATTACAGCATCGGAAGTGCTACCAAAAGGATCTGTCATAGGCAAGAGGTCAGGGAGCAGAAGAGAAGTGTCAGGAGATTTGAGTCCCTCAATTAGTTTTTCTGGGTTGGGCAGAAAGATAAAGAGAAAGCAAAAATGCAATGAGATATTAAAACGAGATGATTACTTACTGTTTTCTATGCAAATACATTTTAGGGATCAAAATCTTGTATGGATTCATCATAAAAATGAACAGTGCTAGTATCTTTTAAAAAATAGGCTAAGTTTGAAGTTTAAAAGTGATTATTTTCCTAACTAATTACTTTGTGAGGCATTCAAGATACTGGCCTGGGTTTGTCTGTTTTTAAATATGGGGTATAAGTCACACTGAATAAACATCACCATATTAACCGTACAATTTGATGAGTTTTAACAAATGTCCACATTCACATAAGCACTAGTGAAATAATGATGTAGAACATTTCTATTATCTCTAAAAGTACTCTTGTGCCCCTTTCTAATCAATGCCTTTTTCTCACCCCCAGACTCTGGTACCAACTGATCTGCTTTCTGGCCCCATAGTTTGCTTGTTCTAGGATTTCCTATAAATGGAACCATACCGTAACTCGTCTTTTCTGTCTGCTATCTTTCATTTACCATAATGCTTTTGAGATATCGGCATATTATGGCACGTATCAGTAGTTTGTTCTGTTTTATTGCTGAGTAGTGTTCTACTGTATAAACGTATATTTTGTTGGTTCACTAGTTGACAGACATTTGGTCTTTTTTTATTAAATATAAAGCTGCCATAAACATATGCATATCCCTTCTTGGCCTTAGTTTCGAATCTCTCTCTCTTTTTAACTTGCATTTAGAAATGGTTTATAGCTCACCAACAGAATATATCGAATCATGCCTAAGTTAACTTCAATAATCATTTACTGCCTGCCAACTGAGAGTCTGTGACATGCTGGTATTCTTATTATTCTAAGGTCAAATCTCACAAGTCACTTTAGCCTGCAGATAGGTTACCTGTGATGTCTTTTGGCCAAGAAACAAAAGGACATCAGAAGCCACCAGATTTGTCATACCAATATACATATTAAGACGCCTTCCAAAACAATTTCTTTAGCCCTGATCCATTAACAATTCTCCATTTACCTTATACCTATTAAAGGTAGAGCATTAACTTGAAACAAAATAATGAACAAAAGAATCATATAGAAAGAAAGGAATTAAGAGCTTATACCTCCTTTTACTTACAAAGAGACTGAGACCACATAACTTCTATAACTTGCCCAATTAAAGGCCTGTCAACAAAAGTTTTCCTATCGCAGAGACAAAATGCAATTAAGATAAAACTAAAATTAAAATGTTTGAGAAAAAGAAGCAACTGAGGTTCAAGAATATGTATATGACATTTTAAGGAACCTGTATTCCTATTGGCTGTCAGGAATCGAGATATGTAAAAGCAAAACTGCTATTCACTGAGGGATAAAAACTAAATTTTAGATGATGTGTAATGTATAACTACATGGATGAAACAAAATAATGGAGTTTAGTGTCTTGTCAAGATAACTTGGTACAATTAACATACTGCAGTAAAGGATATTTTAACATTTGAAATCAATTTATTATCATCTTTGGAGTATATGGCATGTAAATATCTCTGAATTCAATGCTACATTTCTCATTTACACCTGATTTATACTGAAGAAAAGAAGGAAAAATGACGCTTCTCAACAGCAGGGGAAAAAATCTAGGGTACTAACCAAGTATACGGTGTAATTACATTAGCGTTAATCTGGTACTATAAAAATATCTTTGACAACTTTCAGCCTGCAGAAGAAAATAAGATGGTTTTCCCCAAAAGTCTAATTCTGAACACTAGTTTTTGTTTTATTCCCCTAAAAAGTTTCTCACTTAAAAAAAAGTATTTGTTTCTTTTACTTTTAGCACTTTTAACACTTATTTGTAATCTTGTAAAGCAATAGATAAAAAGTAAAGAGCTAAAATTACTTCCTTTTCTTTTATATAGCAGTTTATTTTGCTGCAAAACCTCAGGCTAGCATTCTTCTAGAGTCTGAACTCTAGCCTCTCCAGTGACTGACTGTGACCCTGGGGTAGTTCCCTTAACTTCTGACATTATCTCCTCAACTGTCAAATGGAGATGCTCCCCTACCTTTTGTGTTGGTCACTTAAGTATCATCTCCCCCATGCCATTCCTCTCCACCCTGCCACACTAGGAACCTTCGGGAGCACTCTGCGCTCACTGCCCTTGCAGCCCTTACAACACAACTGAAGGCAGGGAAGGTGTCTTATTAATCTCTGTAGCTTGTTATCAGTTCCCTCTTGTACTCTCTGTTATATCTGTGCCTTTTGGCTTCATTGGGGAGGTGGGGAGAATGGGGGATCAAATGGAATAAGTCAGGTACTTAAGAATCTAATTATTTTATTAGCTATTAGCAGAAAGTATGTGAGAGAGTTAAAAAGTACAAGTGCGTATGTATGTGTAGTGTAGTGAGATGAAATGAGGTGGGGATGGAGTAAGATGCCAAATTCAGAAAGGCTTGTTTTCTAACCAAACCTCAAAGTAACAGGCAATTCACATAGATAATTTGTATGATCACTGCTGCCTGGTAATTCTCAAATACTGGAACTGTGGAGGGAGGAAGAGTAATACCAGGCAGAAAACTAGGAGTGAGAGTACAGTGCTATAGCATCTGAAGGTGGACGGCACATGCGAAAACAACTTCTTTCACTCCTAGGACTCTTGAAGTGAGAAAAGGCTCTAAGTTACTCAGTACCGCTGGTCCCCAGTTGCCATTATAACAACAGACATCACTTACATCTGGAGAGTTCAATGTCAAACATTTTCATTTATTATTCACAAAAAAACCTGGGTTTGGGAATATTATAGAGTTGAAGAGGCTGGAGATCAGACTGTGAAATTGTGTGACTTGCCCGAAATCATAGATAGGATATGGTAGATCCTGGAATGGACTTTAAAGTTCCTTCCCCATACTGCCTACAGGGTCTTCGTATCTCCATCAACACAGGAGGAAGAGTCTTCACACAAACATGGTCCCATGTACAATGGTCAAGTTGTAAAAGATATGTTGGCACTGGAAGCAACCTCAAATCTTATTTAATTAGCCTTCTCATTTACAGATGAAGAAACTTGCTCCAGAAAGGTGAAGCAACACGCCTAAGAGCTTACAGCAAGTAAGCCACAGAGCTAGCTAGGACTAGGACCCAGATCTTCTATGTACTAGAGATTAATTCCTTTGGATATACTAAGGCCTTGATTGGTTTAAAATGTAAAGATGCCTAGAAGAGGAATCACATCTAAAGATATTACTGGTCATTTTTGGTCACTGTAGATGAAGAACTTGAGGACAGAATCAGTGATCTGGGACAGTTCATACCTGAAATGTACAAAAACTCAGACTCTAACTTTCAGTTATACAAGGTGACAGATTAGTAAAATCCAGAACTTTGCAATGATTTACTCTTCCTAATTAAACTCTTTCTTACGAGAGTTTTCCATCTCCTTTGTATTAGAGTCACAAGTTCATGACCCCATCATATTCCACACTGTGAAAAGCAGTGGGAAATTCCAGACAGAAGGAAATGGTCCAGTTCTTAGGCTGACTCTGATATTTTGAAAACTGGCTTCGGAATCTAAATTTGTGTTGTATGTGTTGGGGGAGAATACCTGGATTTAGAGAGGGTATTATTTAATCTTTTATTTTTGATGTTGTACATTTTGGGGACTTTAGCTGGGGTCTGCAAAATCCCCCCAAATAAATAAGCAACAAAAAAGAATAAAACTTGAATTTAGTTAGTTACCTAACTTTCTTAAGTATCAGTTTTCTCATTTGTTAATAAGGAACAAAAACTACTTTAATGGGTTGTCAGGATTGAATGGGCATATTTATCAGAATTAATGAGTGTGTATGTGTGTAAATTAAAGTGCTTGGTACATAAAAGGAGATTAACTTCTCTTTTGGGTAAGAGAACTTAGATAAGGGGTCACTAAGCCACCAATGCCTGAGATAACAGTAATGAAAATGGGTGGGGTTCCAGGTTTTACTCAAATGCCTTGATATAAGAATAAGCAAAAATTCTTGAATATAGTGAAGTGTGAAGAGGAAGCAGCATGGTCTAACAGAGAGAAAAAAAGGGTACTAAGACAAGAGACCTGGGTTCTGCACTAACTTTGTGTGGCACTTTGGGCAAATTCCTATATTTCCTGAATCTAAATTTTCTTACTGATAAAATGAAGATAAACTTAGACTCCTATTCACCTCTAAATGTCAATCATCCAATGTGAATGAAAAAGTAGGAAGCAGGAACTGGTTAGTTAGAGGATGTATTGTTTAGAGATGAAACTGGAGATCAGAACTGGAAATAACTACAGGGAAGGACACTCAAAGCCCTGGGTGATAAAGCAGGAGGTAAGATGACTGGCCCTAAGGTAGCAGGTTTTGAAAAAAGCAGAGAGCTGACGAAACATGCTATTCAACATGTGAACTCAGCCCAGAAAGACAGTCAGGAGAACAGGGTGAGAAGGCAGGTGGATGGGAAATATCTAAGCTTGCTCCTTGTTTAAAAAAAGAACAAACTGTTATGGTTTGATCCCTTATTATAAAAGTAATACACGTTTACTGTGGAAAACTTGGGAAATACAGATAAGCCAAAGGATAAAAACTACCCATAAACTTATTTCTAGAGATAACTATTAAGAGTTCTTAATGAAGACCCTTCCAATCTTTTCCTATAAATTCTAATCATTTGATAAATATTTAAGCATATTCATGTTTTCTTAGAATAATGTTTTAGAAAAGAACTGCTAAGTTAAACAGGAAGTAAACTCTTGAAAGCTTTTGTCATAAACTGCCAAGCTGTCTTCCCAAAAGTTATACTGATATTCTCACTAGCAGGATCTGAGCATGTTTGTTTTCTTATAACTTTACCAAGTCAGAAGTGGTGGGGTTTTTTTCATCTTTACCAATCTGACAGCAGAAGTCATAGCATCTCGTTTAATAATTGGCTCTTCTTGAATTCATCATGATGAACTCTTTAAAAAATGTACTTACTGGTAATTTATATTTCATCT